TGTTAATACTACATGTTAATACTATGTGTTAATACTACATGTTCATACTATGTGTTAATACTACGTGTTAATACTACGTGTTAATACTGCATGTATGGAACGTCTTGATTATTAATCATCAGAATCACTCAAATTCACAAACTATGATGAATGAGAAATGTCAATTATGCTAACAATGCTAACTTTAGAGTATCAGCGGTTACGACACACACACATCTGGGAACCAGACAGTGACATCACTGACCTATGATGTCACTGAAGGTTACTCAGGGTTTGAAGGTTTGTGTTGTGGAAGTACAGGAAACACTGAGGGACATTTTCTTATTGACTTCCTGATCGATCGACCAATAATCAATAGAGGAAGAGTTATAAACAACTAAGATCTGAAACTTAAATTATATCTTTTTTATCCCCTTTTCCAATTTGACGTCAAAAGTCATATGCAACCGACCCAAACAAAGATGGCCACTTCACATCTGGATGATGACCAGAGGAGGAAAGTAACTGAGTACTTTTACTTTCCCGTCCTGTCACTTCCTGCTTCTCACAAAATGACGATATTTAATTTGTTTTTTCTCAGCTCTACTTATTAAATTGTATTAAGTTAATAAGTAGAGCTGAGTTACCTGAAGAACTAAAATGTTTCAGTCAAACAAACAGAAGTAAATAAAGATTAGAATCTTTATATTTTCTATAATCCAAATTAAATGACGTGTTCACAGCTGCCGATGATGGATGGATTCATTGATAACAGATAGAGTGATAGAGTGATAGAGTGATGGTACCTGCAGTCAGAGTGAGCGGCAGCAGAATCCTAAAGACCAGACCCACAACCAGGTCTGAGGACATCCTGAATCCAGATCAGTCCACTTCAGTCTGAATCCACCCTTTAATCTGGATTCACTGGTCCACATTAAATCCACTCCTGGATCTGGATCTGGTTCTGTCAGAGCTCTGTGTTCCTGCCGGAGGAGCCGCAGGTCCAGCGACGAGCAGCAACACACCCAGAGGACATCCTGTATCCTCCAGGACTCACAGCTGAGAGACAGACAGCTGAGACAGACAGCTGAGACAGACAGATGCACAGTGTCTCACCCTTCAAAATGAAACAGTGAAGATTGAAACAAACTCTCACTCTGTCTGTCTCTCTATGTCCCTCTCTGTCCCCCTCTCTCTCTGTCCCTCT